ACGTCATGGGTTTCAAATTTTTTCCTTCAATCTATTACAATAATCATTAACTAAAATTAAGTACTTAATATATTTCAATGTAACAATAATTAACAAATAAGATAATAATTTTTTATATTTTTTTGAATTTAATTTCGAATTATTTTTAATTTTAATTATTTTTCTGGCAGGTAAAATTACAATTCAATTTCTTAATTTTAAACTTCAAATATATTTAATTAGTTGTTGTATTTTTTAGGCATAGTTAAATAAAGATCACAGCATTTATTTTCATTATAGGAGAATATAAGCATTTTCCCAAATTATATTATTTTGTCTTCTGAATGAAATAGAAAAATTAATTATTGATATTACTTTATATTTTTGTTATTCCAAACTGACATTATGAGGATGCTTACTTAAAATATAGTATGATAGAAATATTCATTATATACATATATATATATTTAAAAAAAAAACATTTTTAATATAATTTTTAAAATAAACCGTATATAAAATAATATAATCCATCAAAATAAGTTTGGTTTTTTTATTTTACAGATTTTAAAGTTGAATGAAAATATAAATAAGTTGAATCTATAAAAATATTTTACACATAAAAATCAGAGAGCGGAAAATATTCTACAATTCTAAATATTTTAACTAAATTATTAAGAGCAGATTTTTTTTAAACTTATCTTTATTAAATATTAATATAAACTAACAGTTTTTTTTTAATAAGTTATTTATATATATAAATGAATGATATGTCTTATATAAAGCGGTTTACCAACACAAATTCACTTTTTACAAAAATATTGTATACATACAAATTTATAAATTCAATAATCATATATATATATTAAATCAATAGATATTTAAAAATTATGATTATGTAAAATTATAAAAAAAATATATTTTAAATATCAAAATGTATTTTGTTATTTTAACCTTAAATTTTAAAAGATATATTAAAAAGTATCAGAATTTATTTATATGAGTATTTGAGCAAAAAAAGTCTACCTATTTAATGATATTTTACCCTCTTTGGCTATTATTAGTATAAATTTAAAATAAAGTAATAATTGATAAATTTTATGTATACAAATTAATGGAATGTTTAAATGGCAATTTAAATAAAATTACCCTTTAAAAGTTTTTTTGAATATGTTCATATTATTATTTTGAAACAATAATAAATAACTAGCAATCCCTTTTTTTAAAAAAAGAGGAATTACTTTTGTTCCAAATTTTTTTTTTAGTTTAAGTTATAGTTTTAAATAAAGTAATTTTAGGAATTAAAGAAATTCAATGATGTACAGCACAATAAAAAATAATTTATTAATATTTAATAAGCTTATAAATGCTGTTGTAAAATATTTGTATCTACATATATAAACAGTAAGAACTTTACTTATTATACTATATAAAATTAATCTAAAATATATAGAATAATTAACTGCTTAGTTAAAGAACAACTAAATTCAAAATAACATGTTAAAATTAAAATGAACCACTTAATATTTTGTTTTTTCATTTTACACTCAATTCATCTAAACGTAATAGTTTCCAGATCTTAAACATAAACTACTAGACAGCATAAATTATAAAATTATTATATTCAAATTTAAAATGTTTAGTTCAACGATTTGTACGTAAATGACAAAAAAAATCCAAACATAAAATAACTATACAATTCAATTTCAAATTTACTAATTTTTCATAAACTTTTACCGAATCATTGTAATTTTTTATAAATACAGAGAATTGAAATATATATAAAATTTACCACTTGTAACAACCAGCCATAATTCAATTAATTTCTCCATCTTATTTCAATGTAGAACATGAAAACACTTGAAAATTCCAAATTTGAAACAACTAAATAGTTAAAAACAAAATAAATATTAAAATTGCAATTACTTTATCATGTTATAAACTTGTTAAGTTTAAATTAATTAGGTTTAACGCTTATGATAACTAAACACTGATTCATATAAATATTATATATTAATGTCATATGGTTATTAGTTATTAATTATTTTAATTATAATTTAACATTAGCGCTATACTTCACGACACATTTTTTGTTATTAATTACATTTTTATCACCGAAAAATTAATCACGAACATTATGTAATTGACATTTATTATTTTTAATAGGTAATTTCTGTAATCAATAGGTAATACTAATTCGCGTCTGTCGATTGAAATTCACGGCACGATTATGCCACAGAACAATACTAACATTATATTGGTCTGTAATTCACGGTTGTGTGATTTATTATCTAGTGATAAGACGATATCACAATATTTATTATCAAAAATTATCATGATTTAAATTTTCAACTCAAAGTATATGCATTCGTTTTGCGCCAAAGTGTCAAAGATACTATGAAAATCATTACACTGTGAAGTGTATTTTACAAGACCGAGTACTATGAAAATCTGTGATACCAATATATACCAATAGTGAGGCTATCAAATGTTGGTTACATATTTTCGCAGTTTTTTCTAATAGATATGAAATATTTTCATAAGTTTCAATAAATAATAACTGATGAATATTAAATTATATAGTAGACCGTATGTGTTATATTATTATTAGGGCTCGGAACTTAATGCACTTAAAAAGTACTAAATATGTATGCACTTATGCGCTTAAAAAAAATACAAATATGCTTCAAAAATATGCACTTAATTTTTTTTAACACAAAAATGTTCATAAATAAAGATATTTTATTAAATATACTTGTACATAACAGTACAAATGTTGTTAGTATATTATACTTAACTAAACATAATTTCTAGGTATAAATATATAAGATAAAATAAAATAAAAATAATTGAATTTCAAATTTAATTTAAAATAAATAATTTTAAATTTAAAATTTTCTTTCAAAATGATCCCATTAGGTTTTTTCATAGTGTCATGAAAATAATATCAAGATTACTTAGCAATAAGTTGAATAGCCCAATAAAATCATGCAAATGCAACACCTCCCGAACCCTTTGTTGTTATGAATACTGTTATTATAGAATATAAAATTATTACTATTAAAATCGGTAACCACATGCTCAAAAGTTGGATAAAATCAACTTCACATTATCTTATGGTTAATGTGGTAACTTGTGATTTATTATACGGTATACCTTAATGTAACAATATAGTTCAACCAATCAGAAATAATTATTTTAGAAGACACGACACGGCACGATGTAGTGTGAACCCCAGGGCCGGATTAAAGGGTAGGCAAAATAAGCAATTGCTTATGGCCAAAAAAAAATTCTGCCCATAATTTTTAAAATCAAATGTATTTATATTAAAAATAAAATTTAAGAATTCTTTTCTCGTGAGTAGTTATGAATTTATGACTTTAAATCATAAATAATTTAATATTATGGTTATCAAATTTATTGTAAACTTGTAACTGTGATTTGTATCAATTATTTCATTATTCCAACTAATGTTCCAAAAATATTTCATCATATTAATTTGCCTTTATGATATGATCAGTACTTAGAAGTTTATTAGTTTAATACTATCGCGACTCGGGTTTTTCCTAAAAATAATGTAATAATAAAGAAAATTAATATAAGAATTCAAAATTTTAAATGTAGATTCAAATGTAAATTATAATTATTTTAATTTTATTTGTGATACCTAATAAATAATTGAAAATAAAATTAATTTTTTTAAGTGTATGAAAATTATGTGTAGGCCATTTATATGAATATGCTTACGGCCCTAAAAACTATAATTCGGCTCTGGTGAATTCGGGTTTATTTTATACATTGTGATTACCATAGTTTAAGATATATAGTATATCTTAAACAGTGATGTTTACCTATGTTTCATTTCATTGATAAATATGATAACTATTTGTGTGTATATACATGTATGAAAATTCGCACGGTCTTGTTAATATTTTCATGTTTTTGATTTATAACTGATTATTTTCCTAATAAGTTAAAACTGTTTAAATAGGTATTAGCTATGTTTACCTAATATCATTTCAGAGTACTATCTATGCAAAATAACTAAAATCCATTTTATTTTATTTAATATTTTCATGCTGAGTACCTACTTATTAAAAATCAGACATGATACCGGTGTAGATATTTTATTTTATTTGGTACTATTTTCCCCTATGTTTTTGTATTCAACGCTATGATTGGTTTCGTAGTCGGACACGTTCTCCCTACTTTTCCCTCTTTACAGCTCTTTAGTTCCATGTAGCTTGACAGTTCATCATCACAGATCAAATAAGCTCGACAAATGAGTTCTCGCATGTCCTTTGTCTCTCTCACCTTCAATTTTCCCTTCTATTATTTAATAAACTAGTTATTTTTCGTGCCTCAATTTGTGACCAATTATATTATCATCATAACCATCGCCTTGCTTTAATTTTGAGTATCTCTCTGCATTCATTTATTTCACTGATTATGCTTTCGTATGTTGTGCCATCCAACTCAATCGCGGCATTTTTCTCCAACATTTCAAAATTTATGAGGATTCGTCATTCTGCCTTGTTGAGTATCCAGATTTTGCAACCGTAATGCGTCACACTCCGTAAGTATAATTTTGTGAAGTGTTTCCTCATTCTAACACTCATACCAGTGGCGCCAAACCACAAAAAATGCAGAAAAAAGTTAGGTTTTATAAAATTCAAATATTTTATTTAGTTTAGCTTTTTAGTCACCTTTATAGCACGTTTTCTCGCCATAAGACTAGCCCACGGAAAAAAAAAATTATTACATTCTTCAAAACATTAATGTTATTTTAAAGATTGAAACAAACACGTACAATATAAATAATATTAGCTGAGTTGATTCATATTTTTAACGTAACTCGTCAATGGTCTTGTTTAAATTGTTTTAATTAAACGTACTGGTTAGTTTTAGTTTTTGTTATATACATACTTTTTATACACTAATATAAAAATCTGTAAAATTAATTGCTAAATAATAATTTTTAAATTTGGTTGTTAATTATTTTAACGTGAACATGCTTTTTACGGTTTTTTTTTTTTTTTATTATTATTATTCCCCTTAAGAATATAATTTTCAACGGGTAGTGTTACACAAATTGGAAACGAATAGTTATAATGTTTTTGTCCGAATTGATTGAAACATTCGCTTCTTAATTAACCGTAATTTTCAACACAAAAGGTTTACATCTAGGAATTTCAGATTTGCTGACAGATACTGTCTATCCTAAGCGTGTATGTATTTATTTAGTAAAAAATGAATCTAGCGATTTCTAAGAATTCTGACATATACACGGTACAAATTATTAATATATATGCATATTTTGTTTTATTGTGGTAGAAATACTGTTAGATTGGATAAGAGGAGAGAGACCTTGTGTACATTATTACTCCTCACCAAAAATTAGTTCAATACGTCACTGACTTAAAGTCATATATAATATAATATAAATATATATAAAAATGAATTACTATTCGTTAGTCTCGCTAAAACTCGAGAACTGCCGGACCGATTTGGCTAATTCTTTTTTTATAATATTCCTTAAAGTACGAGGATGGTTCTTACGGAGAAAAAAATTTAAAAAATTGCTTGAAAAAGTATAAAAACAACACTTTTCTATATTCCCATACAAAAGATTAAAAAAAGTTAATTAAAAAAAAAATAAAATTAAAAATCAATTTAATTTGATTTAATTTTTCAGTTTGACTTAGCCATAAAGTTAATATCTTAGTACAAAAACGATAATATATTTCCAAACGATAAAAGTATTTAACCATGTACGTTTATTCATATTGAAATTATTGATTTATCAACTCACTTTTTTCTTTTTTATCTTACTAGCTGACCCGGTGTCCCAAATAACAGAATAAGTATTAAAAAAAAATAAAAAATTAAAGAATCGACTGTTAGGCGGTACGAAGTTCGCCAGGTCAGCTAGTATAATATAAATATAACATATTTAAATTATACATTTACAACTTATAATGCAGTTCTGCAAATACGTAAACAAACATTCGAATACACAGCTAAGATAAATTAATGTAGGTGCTTGTTAAAAAATAATTAGTTTTATATTTTTACACATTTAATTTGAATTTCAAACTAAATTTTAAAATTAGGTTTAACATATGATGATAAATGGACCTAGACGACATTTACATTCTTATATTCCTTACGTTTGCTAATAAGGGGATGTAACCCAATCTTGAAAATACAAAGAGTTGAAAGGAATAGCATACATAAGCAAAGTGTAATTTATTATACGTTGTGTGAGTGAAACTTTAAACCGTCAGGTAGTTCACATCCCACAAAGTATACAGATGTTAAATTTGTCGATTTAAATCCGCAATTATTTTTATTAAAATCTATCTTTGTTAATAATTCCAAACACAAGTGTCCTTCGCAGTTGAGTTTATGTGTTTTTTTTCTCTTATACTAATGTTTACGGGTTGCAATGATTGCGTCAATTATACATTAATTATGCTAAGCGCGTTTAAGAATCGTGCCTTGCTGTGGATCCATTATGTATACTGGTAAATATAATCTTCAGTATCCTATCGTCGTGCCCATGTTGCGGTTCGTATAAGAAAATATATTACAAAATGTACGGAATGCTATTGGAAAGCGTACATCACTTCATTCAGGTATGTGTTTATTATTATAAATAATATATATTATAAATTTAATAAATATATTTTTACAAATGGAATCACTTGTAAATATACATTAATTTGATTATTTATTAATTGCAATTTTCATGATCTAAACAATATTACTATCTTTATATTTTACAATCGTGTTTTCTCTAGGTTAAGCGTTTACTAACCGGCAAACATGGTACAATACTTGTTATATTCCGTGTTAAATTAATAAATAGTACATATTAATGGTACATGTGAATCGTTTATTTTGTGTGTTTTTTTACACTTTTTTATTTTATGTTATAGCAATTTTAATAGAAACAAATAATAGCTCTTAGTAATATTTATAAAAACGTGTCGAGGGTTAAAAGATAAAATTAGTTTATGTTATAATTTAAAAATACAAGACGAAAAATTCCCAGGAGGAGGAAATCTATTACACTATCGATTACCCGGCAGCAATAATTAACTGATGTCTGAAAATGTGTTGACTAAATACGTAACGTGTATTTGGGTGCGAGTTTACCACGTAACCCCATTTCTGTTGTACATACAATAACAATAAACATAAATTGTTGTATCTTATTTTTATGTATTCCACACCTAACCTCAAGCTGCTATCACGTGAGTTAAATGACAAAATAATTAATTATTTTCTGTTCAATAGTGAAGAAATTATCTAATGAGTTAATGTTTTCACCATTTTTTTTTAGGCTTTTTACGAGCTATTTAAACTCTTGACCGCGAAACCTAATTTCTTCCATCGCTCTCTATCGTATGCTTCTTCCCAGTCCCCTCAAATTTCTTCTAATGATTCCTTGACGTTGTCCTTCCATATTTTCCGCGGTCTTTCATCAGTTACTTAGAAATGTCAGATAACTTATTTCAGTTTATTCTCCCCAACCAATTTATGTTTAGACATGGTATTTGTTTTGCATTGCGCACCGTTATAGTTGGAGTACGGCGAGGACGCTTGGTACGAGGTGGTCCGGCTGTCTCGATGCAAGTGGTCCGAGTTCAACACGTTCGAAATATACCCGGACTGGGTGATGCCGGAGCTGGCGGCCGCGGCCGCCAAAATACTCACGGACCCCGGGAGCCGGACCGTCGAGTACGACGAGGGCGACTGGGACGACGACGAGGACGACGATCGCGATGACGGCGGCGAACCGACGTTCGACAGTTTCATGCGGTACTTCGGCCGCTGCTTCGTGCGGTTCTTCAGCACGCTGAAACACTACGACGACTACATCCGCGCCACCGGCCGGTACTTTTGCGAGTTCCTCAAGAACGTGGACAACCTGCACCTGCAGATCCGGTTTCGGTTCCCGAAGATGAAGAGCCCGTCCATGTATATGTCGCACGCGGACCGCGACGGTTGCGTGCTCGTCTACCGGAGCACTAGGCGCGGGCTCACGCAATATTTCATGGGTAAGCGTGCAACGTGGTCTGCGCTCAAGCGGGTCGTGAGTTTACGAAAAAAATCAGCAAGCGCTTAAACGTCCGAATGCTGTCGGCGCGACCGCGGGATGCGCAGGGGGAGGTAGGACTCGCGCGACCCCAAGGTATTCCGATGAAATGTACAGCATCAAGGGCGGTGTGGCGTGAGGGTGAATCTGCCATGTGTTTGTGAGCAATTCACAATACGCGCACACACAAAAATATTGATCTAGTCGCGCACTTGCCGCCCGTGCTTATAGGCGAAATAAATTACAAAAATCAGCAAACTACATCATGGTATGTAGTCTTAGACACAGTCGCCGTTAGAAACGGGACGCCTCCACCTACGAATGACTTATTTATGTAGTCGGCAATCATCAACAAATTAAATAATATTAGTATTCTAGAATCATGTTTTAGAAAGTGGTCAGGAAATGTATATACTTATAAATCCCCTAAACCCCCTCCATCCATCAATGTTTGATAGCGAATATTAATTAATAATTAATCCAACCATGAAGTTTTGCTGATTGTCCGTATTTATGTGCCGTAGTACTTTGAACGTATATAATATTTTTATTACATTTCACGTTTCCGGAAATGTAGCGATTGCATTTCTTAGTTCATTCATTTAATTTGAATAATAATTATTTTTCTACAAAGATTACTTTGGCTTCTAACCACAGACATTTCATCGTTTGTATTAAGAACGTGAAAAAACGTATCTAACTTTATAAATTCATAGAATCGTTATTTAATGTTTTTCCGCTGTTATTTGCGAAACGATCGTATTCTAACATTCCATCATCCGACCCTCCAGTGAAATAAAATTCTCGCTAATAATAGACAGATTTAATAGAAATGTTGAAATAAATTTTAAGATTTATTAAACAAGATGTTCTATATATTATAACTAATTCAATACAAAATATACTCGAATGAATGGTACAAAATAATTAGAAAATAATGCAACAATTATGAATTGTACAGGATTTTAAGATACATTTGATCAAATAAGCCATTAGTATACCATTTTTTTTCTTGTTTGATAAAATCAGATTTATCTATTTCCTATAGTTAATATTATAATTTATAATTAAACTAAATGTATTTCATTTCACTTTTTATTGCACCATAGTTTAGTAATAAAGTTCACACGAAATTGTCAGAAAAATATCGGTTCCCTAAAATTAATTGTTAAAAAAACAGGTTAAACGTACATAATTTTATACTTAGTGTACAAAATCAATTTGCATACGAGTACGAGGACTAGGAGGAGCAGAAATTAAAAAAAGAATGTATAAATCAATAGTCCTTATTCGCATTTAATAATGACTAGTTGATTCCCAAAAACAAATGCACTTGGCATGCATATCACATCACTCCTCGGCTGCAGAGGTTTAATTAAACTTTTCGCTATCGATATACCCTTTCATTATTTCACTGTACACTTGTGAGCGTTGCGTTGAAAATGTCGAATTACGAATTCTACCCACTTATCATTCCACTTGACAACTGTCCTAAACTTTCAGAGGTTATCACAAATTTATACAACTAATATTGCGTCCAATCAATGCGCGTGCCTTCAATATTCTAGGATAAACCATTATGTACTCAGAAATGCACTTAACGATGCCGCTCGAGTAACTTTTTAAGCCCTTCTATTTTGTGATATTCAACCAAACTTGTCTAGATGTTACATTATAAATATGACACGACGTAATTATATTTCGCATGAACCTTGGGAAAATATACTGCACGTTATTTTCTGATCAAGCAAGACAAACTCCGGGAAAGCTTTAACACCAAACAATATGAACTCGCTAGCCATGCTCTTTGATTTATAACAATAATAACCCCGAATCATTATGTTGAATACGGAATGAATACAATACATTTAGTTCTAATATATTCATATAATTATTCAAGCATTATTTTTGATTTGCGAAAACTGTACAACAAATCAAAGTGTATTATAACGGAATAATCGTTGAAAAATGGAGATCAGAGTTTTTAAAAATTATAAACCTATTTTATTTTATCCTATGTTTTGTGGAGATTGCAGATTCAGTTTTCAAAACCACCCCTTTTAACTTATCACGATTTCCTGTAGTTGCAAACGTATACAATTTTACACGTACGAACAACTAAGTACCTAATGCAATCAAAAACTTAATATTAATTTACAGTATTACTATAAATATAGTCAAATTTATATTGATATTATTAATAGGTATTATTATTTTTGTTTTTTTAATATATGTACATAATTATATTTTCGGCAGCAATTTAGAGAAAACTAGTTTCGATTTTTTTTTTTAGTAATACATAAATATTATTTATTTTATATCCTCACGAAATAAAACGTACGTATGTAAAATTGGCTTATAATTCGTTAATGTTATTTCATTGATCACACAAAACGGCTCAACATGTTAATTAGTTGCAATTTAAAAAACTTAAGAATATTCCATTATTACATATAACGTTATGTACTTAGATTAAATCTGTTTCTAAGTATAATATATATTTTAATTCTATTAATTCCAACGATAAAAAAAAAAAAAAAAAAAAAAAAAAAAAACAATTTGACAATACATCAATAATCGAATTCGGTCTTTAATCATGGTTGTGGTCCTCTATGTTTCGTACCGCAGGACAACTGGAGCAGATTGCCGAGGATGTGTACAACACGAAGCTCTGCATCCGCGTGCTTCATGAGGAGAATACGACCGTGACCTCGCAGTCCATATCCTTGCAAGGTGCTGGTCCGCATAACGTGATGGTGAAGTTCCGGTTGGACTTCGACAACAGCGCGTTCCTCTGCCAGTCAACGGCGAAGACATTTGACCGGCTTCAGCTTCCGTCCGTACACATCGGCGTGCTACTCCTACTGTTCCCGTTCGGAGTGGTCGTCGGCCGCGACCTACGCATCGTGGATGCCGGTGAGAAACTGTTAAACGTGTTGGGCTTGGCCACGACTGACGATGTCCGCGGCCACACGATGGTCGATCACTTCTTGATCCGGAGACCCCGGGACATACCGTTCACATGGAATAATGTAAGTATAGTTGTCATTGCACGCGTATTGATTATCCACTAAAGCGTAATATTATACAGTATAACTTGCTGCATATTATATTTGTTTTATCAACTTGATGTACATCTGTGCCATAACAAAATAATAATGTGCCCAGCACGAAACGTTTAACCTGTGCACGATACATTACTGTACACATCTTTTTTCAGAAATAATTTCCTGTCCAATTTTAGAAAATATTAATTTATGGGTGAAATACGAATTTTGTACAATTAATCGGTCAACATTGTTTTACGAGTGAAATCCGAAAACAGCTAGGTTTGGTTAGTTGTACAGTTAAAAAATTGTATGAACAATAGACTTATAAATGAATAATAAAGTATTAAAATATTTTTTGATCTTTACAAAAAGTATTACAATTGACGCGTTAAAATAAAATATATCATTATTATAGACCTTTACGTGATTTATATCACTCGAGCGTGAATTTTTGATAATAAAGATTTTCAAAATATTATGTTCGAATAGTCGCGACACACGGGAATTATTTTTAAAACAATACCCTAAAATCAACATGGACACGAACAAGTCAAATGCGATTATTTTCAAATGGTAATATTATTGCTGTGGTTTGTAATCGTGGCACGTCTGAAAAATCGATTTTCGATCGGAGTGACGTACGCGTGGAATTGATCATGCGAAAACTGACAACATCGTTAGCACAATATTATAATACAGTGGTTCCCACCCTTTTATCTTTCGTATCCAAAAGCTCAATAAATTGCTAAATTGTACTTAGGACCATACTGGATGCTCTTATGGGATCGTTTTGAAAACATTAAAAAGAGCTTTAACTTTTGTTATTTAATCCTTTAGGTTAAGGTCCAATATATTACAGATTAAAGAATCTTAATTTTGTTAGCTTCTTCGCATAAAAAATAGGTAATTAAAATAAATATAATCTTGAAATATATATATATATATATAAATCTTTGTTTAATACAATTAAAATTATAAATTCATACAAAAAAAGTTATTATAATTTAGAGAGAAAGTAATCAATTTAAACGTATTTTTTGACTTGAAGAGCCTTTAATATGATCAATCTTATTAATTATGTGATTTTCTTCGTAAAAATATCTTGTTAAAATTACAAACATTGAATTATAAATAAACACTACATTTTCCTGTGAAGTTGTATACCTTATTCTTGTCTTTAAAAGTTTTAGCTTCGAGAATGTACGTTCACATATAACTTGTGTGAGTAACCTAATACATATATATTTATAAATAATCGTGACGTGTGGTGTAATTTTATTTTTGGTAAACGTTGAAATAAAATTTCAAGTTATGACTTTAAAAGAAAGTATTTTATAAATAACAAATTTTTTAGTTATTTTCTATAGCTAAATAAAAAACTAATATATTAATATTTTAAAATCCATTTTTAGATGTTAAATGTTACTGCTCTTCTCATTAAAACAGAATTAAAAAAAATGACTAAATTCTAAAATCGGGTGAGATACAGAGATAAGTGAATGATATTGTTACGTCGGTTTTCAAACTTGAGACCAATGTACCATAGCACTTGAAAAAACGATTCTGAGTGTAAGAGGTCGGAGGGATCAGTTTATACTTCTAAAAACTGATGATATAAAATAAAAACCAAATTTTTTATAAAGTACATTGAACTTTTAATGTTTTAACTTTTGAAAAATCGAAAATAAATAGCACAAATTTTATTAGAATATTTCAAAACTATAAAATGCAAATATAAGTACTCAGTATGGTTTTCGAGTCACTATGAGTTTTTACGATTTATATAATAATAAATAACTACTATCGATAAATAGAAATTCGTTGAAATAACCGATTTTAACGAATTTTTTAACGCTTATAAATCCAATAACCCTTTACTATGGACTTACACGGAATGATTTTTTTCCCGCGTAAAACATATTTTTACGTTTTAATTATAGGTTATCACGTCCTCTTAATATATTTTTGTTTCATAATATTACGCTGGTGATTGGATTTGTTGTATTTATCACGACGTATGCACTCGTCTGTATACTATAATTTTGTGCTGATACATCCCTTGAATAAAGTGTAATAATATATTATATTGTGTACTCTGGAGTAATTTTGACGCGACCGCACAGCCGTTTTACGTCTCATCATAATATTGTATTTGATGTGACATGTTTATTTAGACATGCTAAACGAGTTGTGCAGCCTAGTGATTACATTATAATAATAATTATATATAATCTATACAGACTATCTGACCGAACATCGTATAATAATAATTATAATTTATAACAGTAACACAGTTGACAATACACACAATTTCATTAGAAACTTGAAAGTGATAACCACAATAGTGCACTGAATAATTCTAACCCACAAAATCATATAATTCGATTTACTATTTTATAACAAATAATACTATATTAAATATATACTGTTATTAAACATTAATTGGCACAATGGACTATTGTATAAATTAAAATCCATAAATACTCTATCTTGTTCAATAATATTAATTAATTTCTACTTAATAAACAGTTCTCCGTTAAAATAAATTATAACACCTCTGACCTCATGCTTATCTTTGACGGTGTACCCCAGGGCTCAAAACTTGGTCCCATACTATTTAACATTTATGTTTATGGTATCCCCCAGTCACATCATACAAATATTGCTCTCTTTGTAGATGACACAAAAATTTTCACTGAATCACACAACATAGAAGCAATAACCTCAAATCTGCAAACTCATCTTGATTTATTATCTTACTGGTGTAAAAAATGAAGAATCCAAATAAATGCGTCAAAAAGCGCTAGTGTTATCTTTAGTCTTCGTCAATATCACCCCCCTGTACAATTAATATTTAACAATGTAAATATACCTTGGAATAAGTCAGTTAAATACCTCGGCTTGACATTGGATAAACGTTTAACATGGCAGCCCCATATTTCATCCAAACTTCAACAAGCATACCAATACCTTTTTATGTTATACCCTATTTTTAATAAAAAAATCTTCAATTCATAAAAAATGCTCTCTTCTTAATTTATAATCAAATTCTACGTCCACTATTCACTTACGCTTGTCCAGTTTGTGGAAAATGTGCGACCTCTCACATCAGTAAAATTCAAATCTTTCAAAACAAAGTGCTACGAATTATTATAAATGCCTTGGTTTATAAAAAATGTAAACCTTCATAAAGACCTTCAAATCCACGAAATCGTAGACCACATAAAAACCTTATCCAAAAACTTCCATACTTCACTTCTCAACTCATCTGGCTCACTTCATTATAATCTGTACGTATTACCATCCCAACGTAGACTGAAACGTGGACGTCCGCATGATCTTCTCGATTAACAACAACACGAAATTACGCCGCAGCTGTATGATATCTATTAAATCTTATAGTACCATATATACCTATGCTCCACTTGTATTATATGTTATATCTGTTATGTTTTTATATTAATATGTTATTAGAAATTAACCTACTGTTACTTAATTTAAAGATATAGTTACATCATTCAGTGTAACAATCACTTTAGTTACTACCACAATTTTATGTATGCTATCCCTCCATGTTTGTTATTATTAAAAAAAAAAAAATTATCAAGTTAGAAAAGTTAAAAAAAAGGTTTTTGTAAATATCACTAGATGTAGATAGCTTATAGGCTAGGAACGTCTTATTTTAAAATGTAATAAAAAAAAAAATTAAACATTAAGGCGGTTGAAAGTGGACCGTTTTTAAGGGGTTGAGTATAGGCAATATGTTATAATCATTGGGAATTGCTGTGCGAGTGCGTGTGTAGTAACTGATTATTAGTGTGTGTAAGTTCCCCAAACGGGTAATTTTTATGTTTTATCAGTAAACAGTTCAACAATAATTTTATTAGCATCACAACGCGCATTGTATTGTATCCTTGTCCAGTACTTACAACTGCTGTAACCACTTCTATATTTATGCACACCAACGATGAATTATTACATTCAGTTGTTATGACTTCTAATTTGTTGCACATCATACACTAAAAAATAAATTCGGAATAAAAATCATTTTTTTTTGTCATTTATTAAAGTAAGATCTTTAAATGAGCAGCCAAAAAGTGGGTGGTTGATTTTCTAAATCGAATCAAATAAATGATTTATATTAACTATACGTCTACCGTCATAAATGAACCTAGTGAAAAGAAATTAGAAAAGTATATTATATGATATGCAGTCTTGTGAAGTATTCGAATACAAGTATTTGAATACTTGTATTAAAGTACTTTTTGAAGAATTTATATGGTATTCTAAATACAATTTTTTATGTGTTTTTTTTAAGTATTTGAATATTTTTTAACTGTATTTTTACCAAAATTTAAATACTTGTGTTAAAATAGCATAAAATCTGTTTTATTAATTTTAATTTATTATTTTTCAAAAAAAAAATTGACATCAATAAAAATAATATTGTTTTTGTTGAAAACTAATATTATGTTTATGTATATTAAAATTAGGTAATAACAATGTTACAATACTAAATACAACATTACATTTTATATAGTTTCTTTATTGGAATTTTTTAAGAAAACTGAAAATCTAATAATTTTAAAATAGTTCTATATTAATAGTAAGTTAATACCACTTTTTATTTTATTTTTTTCATTAAAATTTAATCAATATTAGTTGAAATATACTGTTGTCCATAAGTTTTGCTTACTATGATTATAAAAAAAATTGTATTGTATTGTTTTGATGTAAACATTAATATTTGCTCAAATTCATTAGTTTACTTGCATTAGCTTAATATTTTATCTTAATGATATTATTATTCGCTGATCTTAAATTTCAGATATTTTTAATTTCAAGATTTTTTTTCAGAAAGTAAAAAGAGTATTTTTACAAAATTTAGTTTCAAACTAATTATTATCTTTTTAATGGTAAACATTAAATATTAATTAAATTAAAATTTGAACTTATGTATGCATAAGTGCAGCTTTTAAATAAAATAATATGATTTTTTTTCATTCCATAAAGTAAAACTTCGGACTGTGTATAACTACAGTTAATACATGACGTAAAATATGTCCATTGCAAAATAAAACTCCTTATTAAAATTTATTACTCTACCAATCGCCTTAATATGTATATTGAGTATACTAGTTTATTTTTATGCTCGAGTAAAACTAAAAACAATTTTGAATATAAAACGAAAGCGCTACATGGACTAAGAGTACTTTGTATAAATATTAATTTTGTTTGTATATTTTAATATAAATGACTACCAATAATTATTCATCATCAATAGGAAAAATAATATTATCCATGTTTAATTACGGTTTCAAATGACGAACAAATATTATTATAATTATTATTTTTTTTTAATAAATAAAGCAATAATATCGAAAGTAAATTTATTGCTGTATTTAGACTGATATTATGAATAGAGACAAATACATAGATAACATATGCATATACAGTATACACATGGGTGAAACTAGAAATTTCAATAAAATTAAGTAAAACATTTTACCTCAAGTAGAGAATATTAATTTATCTTAAGTATTGATGATGAAAACAAGAGGAGGAATTATTTTGTTAGCTGCTACTTCCTAAAATTTATCTTAGTTTAAGAATTTTCATAGAAAAAATTAAAAAATTAAAAATCTGTGAGTATTTATTATTTTTATTATTATTCAAAATGTGTATATAATTAAATAATGCAATAGGTTATTCTAATTTTTGTATACATAGTATAAATTAAAACGAAATTATAGTAAGATATATATTCTTTGATCGTTTCGAACTTTAAAATTTTAATGTTATTATAGAGATTTATTTTTAATTAAGACTTGAACTTGTTACCTTGGCTTTGTACGGTACAATCTAGCATATTTTGAATTTAAGAGTAAAAATTATTTTTAGTATCAAAGACTATCGGCCATCTGTTGCGTGTTAACTTCGGATTCAACCACACGTAAGTGAGGCAAACGTCTAATCATCCAACTGAATCAGATGGCCACAGTGAGAGTCATATTTATAACATTGTCTTGTTATATTTTCCAAAATATAAATTTTTATCATTCGAGCTAATTTTTTCATTCTTCTTGTCCAACAGTAAACAAACAGATTATTAAACTGCATCATTCAAATTGTCGTCGCAGCACAAGTGTTGAAACGCTGAATGAAGATTTTTACCATTTGAATACTAAAAACGGTAAATTATAAATGACAACTTTCATAAAATGTTTGTGTAGATTTTAAAGTGAAACCTTAACTGGGTTATTATTTGGTTGGCCCGATGTGTAGTTTCATGTTTGCATATGATAATACTTATATTAGTTATGTATAGGCTGTAACGTTCAAGAATTTTAAATATTTTCTATAATATCAATATCATCATTATTAATATCAATCTTGACTTCAGTCCATACTGCACGAAATGGTATACCTTAAGTCCACGTCAACGACCGAGTTCGCTGGATTTACACATAATTAAAATTGTTTTAATTTAACCGTACATTTATTTTCCTTTCCTCGTAAATTTATTCAGTGATAACATTATACGAAATCCAACATCACCAATCACGAAGAAGGCAACGTTTTTCGCTCTTTATTTTCCGACGTTCAACCAAACAGTAGCCATTCTGACCATTGAGTTTCAAACAAATTTTTTCTATTTTCAACCTGATGAAATCATCCACCAATGTTCAACCATGGTCGTCTCAACTCCGCGGTAATGGTCCACGGCGGGTGACAGCAAAACAATACCATAATATCTTTCAACTTTCAACGTCGTATAATATTGGAATCTTCCAAATTATCTTATTTTCCTGTCACACAAAAAAAACCAAAAACACTAAAATAACTTATTATAACTAATTATAACTTATTGTAACTTATTATTATTATTATTATTCTTATATCAGTATAAAATATATATTGAAAAATGTTACACAACAAAATACTCCAGTAATCATCGTGTAGACGGGCAGTAAAAATAAAATAAAATGATCTTAGCGACTGTTACAAAATTTTAAATTCTCAATTTTTTTATTCTTTTATTAATTTTTTTTTAACATCATATATTTAATTTATTTCTTCAAGTAATAAAATATCAAAAATATTGTCTTTAACAAACATTATTTTTGTATTCTACATTTTAATAATTTAAGAAAACCTACCACGTCAGTCAATTATTCCTAAGGGAACTGTTCGGATCGGGTAATAAGTCACTGATTTATATTTTCCTGGTAAGAGTGTTCTGAAATAAGCCCTTAAAAAGGCCAAAAAAGCAACAAGGCTATTAGATATTGTTAATAAATTGTCAAAGACAAAAATAATTAAGCATCTTATAAATTCATGAGAATTGTTCATTGCGTTGTTTATTTTCTGTGCCATATTAACAGAACTCGATTTCTGAAATGTCTATCATTTAATATCAAAATTAATTTCTTTTTTTTAATTTCTTTAATTAATTTAAATAAATTATCTTTCTCAATCATTAAACAAGAAGATAATTTTCACTTCTAAAGGTAAATCGGTGACTTAAATTTACACGATAAAATTAATTGATTCAAACAGTATTACATCTCGATCTAATGAATTGTAAATATTATCGTTTGTAGTCTATAACCCTTTGATAATCAATGAATAATTAAAGGTATTATCATAGTTCGATTTAAATTAAATATATTTGCATTCCAAAGTTCTATTATGTAAATTCAGGAAAATAATTGTTCGACATTACCTCGAAATAGTTGATTTTACCTATAAGTATTATTTTCATGAGTACACACGTTTATGTTTAAATTTTTCAGACTTAACTCGAACTTGCTTAAACGAACAAAAAGGTTAGTTTTCACACATATACGTGTTCGGACGACGGCGCTCATTAGCAACCTCACTGATCCTATTATTATTATTATCATTGTTATTATTCGTTGTATCAAAGATACGTAGCATGCGATGGCACGGGCGACGACGACTATCTTACATATATGTTTCCCGGGGTTTTTCTTCTATTAATTACGTGAATTATTATAATAATTTTTTATCATTGTAGAATTATACCGGGGATTCTTATACAATATTTTTGTTCTAATTTTTGTACGTTGATGACAATATTGCGTCGGCCTTTTTGTCGTTCGTTAGTTGCTATTGCAGCAACAACATGATTTTTTTTATTTATTCTTACGCAAACCGCCGTCCTTATACAAGTGTTGTTCTTTTCGTATGCTAATTTTAAATATTTAAAATTATTTCATTTTCATTTTTCTGTAATATTTTGTTTGAGCATTGAACATATGGCTTTAACCGCCTATAGTTGATTTTTATATGGGCAAATCGCTATTTTTCGTGTGTATTGCGTGTGTGTACACAAATTGATTGTTTTCGCCATTTATTATATTGTTTTATGTTTCATGTAATTTTTAAACAAAAAAATAAATAGATTTATATTAATAATATAACGTTTGTTCAAAGAAAATAAAGAGCATTATTAAATAATAATAATATTTTTTCGCATTACATAATAGAAACTAAATTGAATTATTGTAATGGATTAATATCTAAGGATGAAATTTTTTTAAAAGAGATATTATAGCTCTACAATTGAAAAGAAGTTGTGCATAATATTCTGAGAGACAAAAATATAATTGAACAGGAAACACAAATATTATTATCACATAAAAATATTCAATAATGATATTGTTTACAATTATATGTTATATCATATTTATAACAATTATAATTAGTATTTTTTCACTATAAATATAAAATATAAAACACATCTGTATATTTGGCATGACTTTTGCCTGATAAATATAATACAATATGTGTTCTTAAGACCAAATATCGTGATTAATGTTCAAAATAAAAACATAATGTTAGAAAGAACTATAATAAAAAAAATTAAATAGCACTGTAACTATTTGAACGAATTAATATTTTTTAATAGGTATTGAACAGTGAATACTGAATAGTTTTAGTAAAAAGCCACCAAAAATGAAAATTGAGGAGATAGAGCTTTTTTTTTTTACTGTATATTAGTTTTTAAGGTTATTTTTTTACAAATAAATGATACGGTTGTAGAAGGAAAGAGGACCCACAAAGACCTTAGTGTCGAGATACATAAAAAAAAAAAATATGTTTTAGTAAAAATTATCACATTATTATTATTATTATTATTATTATTACATATTATTTTTAGTATTATTACAATTATATACTTACTTTTTAGCAGTATCACCATAAAATGAAAATACATTTTTTACGTATTTGATTTTATTAAATCTATTAGTTGATGTATTTGACTTCGGTGACATTTGAACTTGAAGTTATACGTGGAGTAAATGCCTCATTTCCTGAAAAAAAAGTTGTTTCAACTAAAACAGAAAAGAAATCAGGGAGTCCATTTCCGGCTATCTTGGATAGAAGAGGTAGTTATGGATCACGGAGTGTACTTCTTAAAGGACAGATGAGGTACATCAAGGAGATTGACGTGATCATATTTTTATGTAGTCCTATGTAAGTGAATTGAAAATAATTATTTTATTTACTAGGGGGGCATATAATAATAATTTGATACGATAAGGCACATACTGAGTGTTTATATTTCTATGACGTTTCATTTCTGAAGATACATCTGTGATACAGCTTCAATATCATACTATTTATAGGTGTGTTTTAACTAATTTTACAACACTCAGTTTCTATATTACACGTAGCGTTATTGTAATAACATATTATTATATTTTGTATTGAGAATCATTTGCAAGAAATCAAGTGTTATTTTAACCATATTTTAATTTTTCAGAGTGAATAATTTGGACGAATTGCAGGCAATGGGATTGTATATGAATGATCTCAATTTTCACGGATTAAGTAGAGAATTATTGCTGTCTGGCTGGCAACATTGTTCTAAGTAATCATAATTGATAGACAAGTAGTTAATTAAAATTAATTAATTTCAAATGGAGGTATCACTTACAAAAACGACAAACTCTAAAAATTGAAATCACATTGTGCTATAAAGATTAAATTTATGTCACGGTTTATGCAACTATAACGTTGTAATATTTTACAATCTTTCATTTACTTTTGTTGTAAATATAAAATTTAAAGTAGGTATTATAAATTATTGAAGGTAATTTGTTTGATCTCCAGATTTTGATAATTTATTATATTAATAATACATTTGACGTTTTTAATTAAGTCACATAACAAGGAAAAATAAGTTTTCAATAATATTCATAATTAAATTATGACAACTTTTAATTGTACCTTTTGATATGGTATTTTTATTTTTTTTTGTTGACTTTTAGATTAGAATTGATGTGTGAAAGGGCTGAACAATTGTCACTTGATCTAGAAGATAATTACCAAAAGTTGGAAAAATGGAAAAAAAGAGGGGATGATTTATTGTATTCTATGTTACCGAAAAGCGTCGCCGATCAGTTGCAAAGCGAACAAAGCAAGTTAAAACCATACAAGGTAAAAAAATAATATAAATAATATTTGTTTTAATTATACATATCTATTTGCATTAATATTTTATTTTATTTATTTATTTTCATCAAATCGCTTAATATCGAGAAATACCATTTCGAAGTAGGTTTATCAGAAACATTTTTTTTCTTATATCATTTATTATAATATACCTAAAGCGTAGTTTTCTCGATTATTTACATAGCCTAACATCTTTAATCAATTTTTATTGTTATTTCAAATCACATAAGCAGTTAATAATATGATGTGATATAAGAATACACTATACACTATTTTTATAATTTCTAGGAATTTTCACTTATTAGTTATAAATTATAACTTATAATGCTGCTGTTAATATATTTATTTTATGTATTTTAAACAATTTTCGAATTTTCGAACAAATTTGAAACATGAAGTTTACAACATGTATTACAGCTAGTACAGTTGTGATTTATATAAATTTTTAGGCTTTTGATATGATATCAGTAATGTTTTGTGAAATCGAAGGATTAAACCCACAGACAACAAAGCAAAATGTAATGTGTCTCGTCGAATGTATGAATATTATATTCAGTCACTTCGATAACCTCACTGATCGCCACGATGTTTACAAGGTACCTAAATATTTGCTTAATTATTTATATTTACTTATAATTATTCTAATTTAAGAATTTAAATTTTTAATTCCATAAAATTTATAAAATGAATATATATGTACATTATCGTATATTGTTTATTGTTTGTTTAACTGATACGATACACTGATGATCGAGCATATATAATAAATGTATGTAAATGGGAATCAGTACATTTACCCGACATTCAATTGCCCGACACTTGCTAGACAACCTCAAATTATATTATAAATAAATATGTGTCAAAAATTATTAAAAATTTCAATAAAATATTATGTTATACCTATTATGTTATTTACAAATTAATGTTAAATTTTAAAACCATGCAATTAATAATTGTGCCAACAATTAATAATAACACATACATTATAATATTTACAATTTAATGTTATGAGCGATTCTTATGAATCTATCGCGAATAGCAGTAAAATAAGATTGAGAACGGAACGACTGAGAACATTATTTTTGGTAACACAATTGAGAACTTAATACTATAATATATTATACTATACTACTTAATACTTAGTACTTCTTTAAATAGAACGATAATATCCATGATAAAATATTCGCCTGATTTAGTTTTCTTTTTAATTATTGTATATTCATATTGTATATTAATAAATAACAATAATAATAATAATAAAATAATGAAATAGTAATAAAATATTGTACATCAGTATTACGTACAGTAAAAATATGTAAAATATATTGTTGGGATTCGGGCAAACGTAGTGTCGGGAAAATGTAGTGTCGGACAAACATATTTTTAGACTAGAGTGACCATATTAAGAAAATAAAAAAACGGGAAGGCTGTTACTTCCCCCCCCCCCAAAAAAAAAAAAATCACTAATCCATATACATTCACTCATATGCACACAAATATCGAGGGTTAAGTCCAAATCTCTATCATATCATAAACAATTATTTTCTTTTTACTTTACCATTTTTAAGTAAAACAACCTAAATAATTCTGTTATTTGTTATTTATAACTTTGGTTTCACATTTTAAGTATACAAGTAAAACTGTTTAATATTTTTTTCATATATAGATATTTTATTTACAAGCATTAATACATTAAATAATAAATAATATGGAAATAACGGGATTAAAACGGGACAATTTTCTAAAAACAGGATAAAAAGCGTCCCATTCGAAGTTTGTCAGGACAACAGAACGTGATGATCAAAAAAAGGACAATCCCGTTTTAAACGGGACGTCTGGTCACCCTATATTAGACCCATGTAAATGCATATATAATATATTTATTAGTATAATAATTTAATTCTATCCAGTGTCTATCTCGTACAAAAATGTTAATAATTAAAATAAATCGTTTTATCGAAATTAGGTGGAAACTTCTAACCAAGTGTATATGGTTGTCAGTGGAGCTCCTGAGTACACGGAAAACCACGCAAAGAACGTCACTGATCTGGGTTTAGGCTACGCTGAGGAAATTAGAAACCTGAAGTTTCCGTGCGATATTCAGATCCAGGTCAAAATCGGTATCAAAATTAACCAACTATGCGTCGTATTGAATAAAATTAGAACATAATTAATATTTAGTTGTTAATAATATCGATATCGCAGATCTTGCGAATTATTGTGTTACCATCAGTCTTGTAGCTCGTTTTATTCATATTTGATTGAAGTATTTGCGTAAAATGATCTATTTACATTTTTTCCATAACGGTTAACCAATATTATTTGACGATATTATTTTATATTATATTATCTTAATGATGACAAATAAAATACCAAATATTATTGGTTGAATTCGAAAAAAACTTGGTACAGATGACTAATTGTAGTGCATTCGTTTGTTTTACGCATAGGCATTCATTCGGGCCCCGTCGTTGCTGGAGTAGTTGGCATAAAAGTTCCACACTACGGTTTGTTCGGCGATACCGTGAATACAGCATCAAGAATGCAAACCACCAGTGAGGTATATCTTGAAACGATTTGAAGTTTATTTTTTTACATTATGGTATAATCTAATTTTCAAAAACCTTTTTAGCCAGGGAAAATTCACATTTCCGTCAAGACCAAAAATCTTTTGCCAGACAATTTATACACGTTAACGTCAAGAGGACTTGTGACGGTTAAGGTAAAAAATTATAGTAATTGTATTACGTGCGTTTTGTCTACATAGTGATTTACCGGGAATCTGTTTATTGTAATTATTTTTTAGGGTAAAGGAGAAATGGAAACTTTCTGGGTTAACAGGAAAAATGACGACCCAAATGCAGTAACTGAACCCAAAACAAACGATTGTACAACCGTCTGTAAATATTCAACAAATCAAAAATCAGAATCAGAAAACGTTGATCGATACAGTTAACACAACTATATCATGATCATGAGTAATGGTATTTACCGTTATACAATTATCATTTATTTATATATATATATATATATATACCTAGCTCAAGGATATTTTCGGTTAAACCTTAAAATATTTTATGGCCAAGTTTAAAAATATTGGATATTGTTATTGCTTTTTATGTGTGAGGAAAAGATTTAATACGAAATAATAATACTACAAATTTCATGACATTTGCGTTACGCAATACATTTATTTCTTTGGTTGGTCCTCGATTATACAATAAACAATACGAATATGCAACGGTAAATAAACGTTGATAAATAAATTACATTAAATAAATAAAAAATAAATAAATTAAATAATAAATACAGGTAATGTATAATGTCGTGGTGAGATCCAAATTATGTGTGAAGCTGATGTGTTAGCGTCCGCATGTATAATTACGCACCACTCTCCGTCGGGACGTAGATATTCGTGCACGGACAAGCGTCTAACGTGTTATTGGCCACCCAATTCAAGTATCTGTTCACCCTGGAGTACACGCCAGGACGGTTGGCTTGAGCGCATCCTTCTCCCCAGGACACGACTCCTGCAAAATAATCGATTCGACGGCGTTTAGACAGTGTGGAGAAGGCCGGGAGACTAGAATTACTTCGTAGTGTTATTACTTACCGACTATGTGGTAGGCCGTGTTGTTGGCAATGTGCATCGGGCCGCCGCTATCGCCCTGCGCATACAAAGGAAATCTAATTAAAACCGTACTATACCACTGCCGCACGGTAGATATATTGTACATCTATGTTAGCGATGACGCTCGAGTGCATTATAAACACGATATCTGTACTATCCAAACAATATCCGCCGTTGGACGCAATCGTAAACGCGTTTCCAACCCGCTCGGAATTCATTTACGCGAAAAGCCTACGACCAAACGACAAAGCAACAACCTAACGCGGCGTTTAATTCAATATTTTTATACGGTTCGCACCATAAATATATCCGTTATTGGGTTCAAACAATATTGTACTTGTTTTACTCTACCGGCGACACGACGCGTCCACGTTAACACTGAAGTTACTGAAGGTACTCGCAACCCCGAACCGCTGTGAATGGCCTAAAGGTACGTCGGAAACCGAAATGGTAATAGATTTCTTTGATTTAGAGATGAAACCGTTTTTGCGCGGTGGAGCAAATGTAATGGTTATGCTATAGCACAGCGTATACCGTTTCATGTGCAGTTAACGAACCCGAATATTATGAAGAACGTATTTTAAGCTTTTTTTTTTTTACTGCGTTTTTTAAGCATATTATAAAGGGACCGTATTTGTATTAACTTATATTGTAATTGTTACGGTAGTGTGGCTTTGGCATGTAATTTGTTTATCGAATTTATGCTTGTGTGTATGTGTGTGTGTGTGTGTGTGTGTGTGTAAGTATGAGTGTGTACGAAGTGTTAATTAAGTACTGGAAATACGTCGAAAAAGTTTCTCGTCGGTGCATGCAGTTCGCGCGTTCGACTGCATCTGATTACCTGTAGGGTTTTCGAAAACAATAACAGCCGAGCGAAACTTCAACGCACACAAAACTGCGATTTTAATTAAAACTAATCGTACTGTAATATTAATATAATATTGCGCGTAATATAATATATCTACAGAGGCACGTGCGGTTAGGTTTCGTAACTGTCAAACACGTAGGATTGTTTATACATCAGTGGCATGGGTCTATACTACGATAAATACTCGTATATTGTATGTCGTATACATAGTAATAATACTATTATATTTATATAAGTTTGGAAATGTCGGAATCAGCCGTGTGTCAAGGTGGGGTTCGATCAAGTATACGTTAAAATAATAATACAATATATAAATATACGAGTATGTAAACATTATATACACGCGTTGTAGGTATATGCGTAGTTATGTATGAGACGTGTATGAAATTCGCTGTGAGTGTTTTTAGAAACTAATTAGCGTGTTAACGAGCGCGTGTTGAACACGATCTTAATACACTTTTGGTGTCATGTTCTACAATAAGAAAGGCTGTGCTTCGAAGGAATAATATTCTGACGATGCATTCGCAATTCATTCATCCTAATTATTCTACGTCTAATAGCTATTATTTTTTTTAGTTTCGTTTCAGGGAAAAATTACTGCTCGTAAAGGACCGCCATAATAGACTAGCAGTTGACGGCGCCTTTGATTTGACCCAACCGTGTCCGTATTAGTTCATATGTAACCTTATTATACTAGATGAAAATTCGGGCGCAGTTTACTTAACACCTTTTTCCACTTGATCAAAACTCGGGTCCAGTTTACATATACGATTTTGTATTCACCTGTGTTTTGAATGCAGTTTACAATCACCGAAACTTATTTATTATTGTAAAACGTTCGAATTTTGATTATAGAGAATCAACTTTTTTTAAGACATCCCCTTTTCCGAAATAAAATTCTGTCTAGTTGTATAACTACAACATTTAGGTTTTCTTTATATGTCCCCATAGTGTATCGTAACTAATCTTACTTGGCACGAATCCTTTTTGCCTTCCGGATATCCAGCGCATATCATGTTAGCCGTGATACGTTTCTCGTCATATTCTGTTTTTCTGCAGTCTTCGTTGCTCATAATTGGCACGTAGACTTCGTGCAATACTTGCGATGAAGATCCACCCTGTTTTCTTGCTCCCCAGCCGGTGATGACGCCTTCGTATCCGGCAAAACTTTTACCTTTGGTACCATACCATATTAATAACGAGAGAATAATGACAAGAAACGAAAAATGGATGTTTACCTTCGGTCGGTAAGCAGACCGGATGTAAACCGGTGTTGGGGCCGAATTCCACACCCTCGGTGTCCATTCGCAACAGTGCGATATCGTTGTTATAAGATGTTGGGCTGTATCCCTTGTGTTTGATCACTCTCAATACTTTTAAATCCAGGTGTTTTGCTTCATCGTTACTGCTGCGGTCGTGTTCCAAAAGTCGTACACCGATGTTTTTCGCATCGAATCTATCCGTTGAGAAGTATACACAATACATTAATTTACGTATATGACAATATTGATATATTCATTTGGTAAATATTAAACAATCGAAAACGTACACATAACAATTATATTATTCAATAATTGCTACAATGTCAATATCAATCGAATCATGAACAAATTTAAAATCGTTTTGATAATCTTCCCAAAGTATTATAATATAATTTAATTAATAATTATTAAAAATATGAATAATTTCGAAATATTTGAATGCTTTATATTTTATTAGAAAATTTCTCAAAAAAAAATTACGCTTATATTATGCCATATCAAATAGAACAACGTAAAGGGAGTGAAAAAGTTATAAAGTTTTGGTTTTTCAAGTAGTTTTAAAAATATTAATGAGTAGTTGTGATTTGGAGATATTTACGAAAATAATTTAACGACGAGATACAACGAAACACTGAATTCAGAATATCACTTTCTACGAAGGTTGAAAAGTAAAAAAAAGTTGTCTCTAGAAAACCGATCATTAGGCCAAGAAGCTTTCAATAAAAACCCATCGAACTAGTAACACGACAACGGTTCGGTGTCGGCTCGTATTCATCATATTGCTGTCGCCGTTTTCATGACCGTTCTACGTACACGCAAAAGAATTAAAAGGTAAATAAAATAATCACCCGTGAACGCAATGGGCTGCCGTCATGACGTATTTGTGGTTGATGACCGACGCTCCGCAATAGAACTTGCCCTTGTACGTGAGCATTGCCATCCAAGGGTACTGATGCACGTACGTAGGGACACCGCCAACGATTCTGTTTTTCTTACCCAAGGCACCGCAAGCTTAAACACACACACACACACACACACACATACACACATGAGTACGATAAGAATTTTTCTTACACACTTCAAAGTTTGTACAAATATGAAGTAAATAAGACTCACTGCACGGGGCGCAAGTGCTCTGGTCGATCGGCGTCACAGGTGGCTCGGCGACAGGCTCTTCGTTGTTGCTGATGATGCCGATGATGTTTTGCCACCAATTGACGTAGTCGATGAACGCGGACTGACTGAGTTCGCCAGCGTTGTTGCTGTGCGGGTTAATTGTAAGCAGTACCTGACGGGAAAACGGAAATAAAAATACCAATATGTTTAAATACAAGTTATTATAGAAGAACACTTGTGAAGTCGGCAGTCGGTATTATGCCCACCGATGGCTATTATACTGCTTGTATTATATTAGTAGGTATTATACGGGATGTCACTCACCGGAGCCCTCTGGTAAGACGTGCCTACCAAAACCACGGTTATCAAGCACAGAACGTTCCACATGGTCGTGTTGTCGTCGGATTCGAGATGAATAAATTGGTAAAAAAGTGTTTTCCGGCGATTTTTGTTCTGTTCGGTAGTTTGCGTAGCTGTATATAGCTGCGATAATGATAGTAGTTGTTCGATCGGGTATACCACACTGATCACTCCGAACACCGGACACGTGTATTTATTGGTCCGACGGTTTCCGTCATTGTACAGACAGACGGCGGCGACCATGTGTTTTCGACCAAGACCAAGGTCATGGTCTCGTGGCCGGCTGCTGTCTGTAATGTAATGCCCGTGTCGACCAAAGGCTTCCGCCTAGGTTACTTAATATGTATATACGTTTAGCTGATAATGCCGGCGGCCGCAGATAACGAAGCTTTCGTGGTGTTTCTAGGTCACGTCCTAATTTTGCATGTATGTATTAATAACCGTTTCAAATCGACGACGAATTGGATCTATTATACAGAAATGAATCATCATCAGGGGGGGAAAAAAAACAATATCAAGAGAACTGCGTCAGACCTGTGACATCCCACATAATATGTAATATATTATAGTTCATTATGTGGTTCATTACCGTGAGTGATTCGGCCTTACAATATCTATTTATCAGTTTATTCGTTGGTTTAACCATACATTTTAATTGCAATCTCGTATTATTTTTGCGGTTTTAAACACAAAATAACACTTTGATAAAATTCAGACGCCTCGTTAACGCCAGGTGTTTTTATACGATTGCATATATTGACGCAAGTAAGAAAAGTTCCTATGTATACTTATATCAAACATTGAAACATTGTTCAAAAACAAAGTATTGTATACAACGTTAATTTTTTAGAATTCAAATTTCTGTTTCTATAAAAATATTTAAAGTTTTTAAATTACCGAATAAAAATTATATACAGTTGAACCCGTTTAAAACGTTTTCCAAAGGACCCGCTAAAAATAGTGTATTAACGGCAAATCGCATAACACAGGAAAAACAATTTAAATTGTGTCAAAAAAAATTGTATATGTTGTAGGAAGTTCTCAATTTTATGGGTTCTTATAATGTTTCGTCAGCATTGTCAAAATATGTAATTTTTAGTTCATTAACATAATAAAGTATATTTTTTACAGGAGAAATCGATATCGTATCATCTTCCTTTTCCTTCGTGCTCTATTCCTCTATAGAGGATACCTCAGTCAATGACATTTTATCTGTAATCATCTGATCAATGCTTCTAGTGTTACTCGTAACAAAGTCCTCGTAAATTTCTGCATATCTTGAAAATTCTTTCGACTCTTGAAAATCTTCGCTGCTTTATATTTATTACTTATTGTCTTATAAGTGAGGTATTTATTTAAATTTTATATTTTTATATTTACATTATTGACCATGAGAGGGTTTTATCTGGGAACATGAATATTACAAATTATTTATCCGGAGTTAATCGCATATTGAACATTGTCAAAATCAAGGGACTTGTTAAAATGAGCGTATTAAGCGAGAAAACATCTTAAACAAGAGCATCGTTCTACTTAACGGGTTAACATTTTACTTTAACAGGTTCTACTGTATTTCATTTACATATGTGTTAAATTGTATTTTAGTTAGGGTAGTGCTTCCCAAACTTTTTCGACTCACGGCGCCCTTTTTAATTCAAGGCTTTTTCAGGGCGCCCTTCCCCAAGTCATAGCATGGCTTATCATACGGACAATTTTCGAACAGAAATTATAACTAACTAACTGTTAGGCGTTAAGGTAAAGTATGATTTCTTATAACAGGGTGCCGACACCGAAAGATTAATGGCACACTTAAATCATCTTTAAAGAAATTTTGATCGGAAACAATTTGTTTTGAAATATTATATATCATATCACAGCGGTTCCTTAAGTGTGCACTGTGAAGCCCTGTTTGCGCCGCGGTGTCTATATAGGGGAGCCGCGCCGTCATGAAATAGTATTTGGTCTAAAATTTTCTTTATGATTAGTCATGTTATGATTTGGGGAAGGGCGCCCTGAAAACACCTTAGATCAAACAGAGTGCGTGAGTCGAAAAAGTTTGGGAAGCACTATCGTAGCATATTCAATTTCATATATACATATTTATTTTGAGAAAAAAATTATAATATTAGAGTGTACTAATACGAGTACCTATTTGCATCATTAAGTGCGTATGTCTTGTTTAGTAAAACGTAATACGGTTTTAAATTTAAAAATATTAATGCTAGGGGAATAAAATTTGTCTCGACTATGGTAGTTTGATTTTGTTTTATTTTCATTAAGAAGAAGTCATCGATCATCCAATCTTACGTGGACCTATTAACACGTTTGACACAAATAATATTCACACGCATATAACGGGCTACAACGCAGTAAAACGTAGACAACTGCTACAGGTGTAATAAATTAAAATATAATTATAATACGTTTTTTTAATAAAGAAAATAGTTTAATTTCCTTCGGATCCTTATGAGGGTCTGGATCCAAACTGCATAATTGTATCCTCATATTCTCCATAGTACAAATACAAATAGCACCGTCTTTTCGTTTTTGTCAACAAGTTAATTTTTGTTTTTTAGAATAATAGTATATAATATATGATATCGATTATCAAATGACCCAGTTTACGGGACGGTAATCATTTTAAATTGATAATTATAATCCTAGAGTACCTATATGCGTAGCGGTACGCAAATGTACACAATATAATAATAGTCGTTTTTTTTTATTATATGGTAACTATACTAATACTATACTTAATACATATTATGCTACTATATCGGTGTCTGTTAGATTTTATTCTTGTTCTTTGTTGATGTATAATTTTAGATGATAATACAACTACGTTTGAGGGGAGAGAAATTACATAGAATTTAGAAAAGTAAATTATTTTATGTTAAGTTCACAATCTGATACGGCTTTTAAGAATAATACGAATCGTAAAAATAAAATTGTCAGAATATATGAAAAATTTCGTAACTAGGACGGACGGACTAAACAGACGATTCCAAATGTAACTAAAGACTATGCAATACAGTGATCATCCTATTCAACGATATGGAAAAAAATAGTTCGTTCAATGTATTTTATACGATAATGTTCATACGATAAATAAATATATATATGTATAAGGCTGTTGCAAATCAAACGCTATTACTTTTTACCAGAATAAATACTTTATACGATTGAACGCGATCAATTTTTCATAATGTTCATTATCAACACGTTGAAAATAATTATATTAGCGCACATAATGGATTATTTCAAAATAATACTAATACTATATCTTAAAAATACATTTAATAAAGCACCTGGGACAGAATTTAATTGATTGAAATAGAATAATACAAATAAAACAATGTCTATGCTTTGATTGGTAAAAATAAAACAAGCAACAATCATTTTAGAATTTTTCCAAATTATTTATAGATGTTAAAAATGATTTATTTTGTAAGTAGAATTTCTAATATTAAATAATTAATTCTAGAATGTTATCATTTATATAGTATATAATTTAGTCAGATTTAAATTCTGAATTAAAATTACACAAAAGTGTAACATTTTGTTATAAAAATAACTAGACAATACTCAATAGCATACAGTATGTACTTTTCAATCATATTAAGAATATTGATCAATTTTTTTTTTTTTTTTTTTTTGATCATAGCCTTAAGTTATTGCTTTTAATCGAATAATTGTTCAGCTTAAAGTTACGTTAAAAACCTTTAAGGAATTTAATATTAGAACTATAGACAAAAGCATATCAATTCAAAATTAAAAATATTAGTAGTTTTAGCAAAACTGTTATATTTTTATTAGAAAATTGAATATAAACATAAAATAAATACAAATTTTCATGCTATTTATTTATTTTTTTAAAACGTAGTTAAATTGTTAGTTCTATTGTTATAAGCTAGATAATTGTTAGTACCTATTTTTAACATTAGTATTTTAAAAAAAATTGTTGAATTACGCATTTCACTTATAATTATTCATTAATAATTAATTATGGTTTTCATTAGATATTTAGATTTAATTAGGTATAGGTGGTATTCTATTGGAATTTTTAATTATTTTCTAACCATTGGTAAATAATTGTTATTATTTGTATAAAAAACTATTTTTTAGAAAAAAAAAATGCTATTTAGTTACTTTTAATGTTTCTTTCTAATTTTAAAATATGACCCAATTTTTATATGGGTATGAAGCATTGGAATAATATAATATTATTTATATTAGTTACCCAGTAGTAATAGTTGATTTGTATTAAAATTGATATTGCAATTTTTTATATATATAAACACTATAGTGAAAAAACAGCTCTATAAAATGGAAAAACATAATGTATTAAAAACAAAAATTTGACACTATTGTGGTACTTACTTAGATTATTTCCCACTGAACATAAAATTTTATTAAAAAAAAAATATTTAAATTAGATATTTTGTTAATTATATGCAAATGTTTAAAACTACTATTTATGTGTATGTACAATAGTATCAAGTTCACAAGACAGTTTGAATGAGGTCAATTTGTTATTACTATAGTTACATCATCACGACAATGTTTGGCAAAATCGGTGTTCTTATTAAATTTAATCACTGAATCGAACACAATTATTTACGCCAGTGTTTTTCAATTTTGTTATTTTGAAGGTAATATTATCGGAATTAATTATTGAATTATAATCATCCACTAATAATTTTTTTGAAATAATATTTTATTTTAATTTTTTTTTAAAAAAAAGTTCAATCGTATAATAAAATATATTCTTATAAAGTGTATGCATATTAAGTATTTGTAATGCTTACAGTTACTACAGTTATAATGTTTTTTTTTTTTTTTTTACAAAAGTTATTTGGATATACAAGATTATTTTTTTTTTTAATTTACCTTTGTTCAAAATCAATTTAATTTAGTAGAATTGAATGATTAAATGCATTAAAATATCCCAGAATATATACTTAATAATGTGTTGAATCATACTATTTATAAATATCATATATTATTTATATTATATACAGAGTCGGCGAAAACTTTTGAGGGTCCCGTGGCTGATTGGTTCCAGGTCCCCTTTACTTACACTTGTTTGGCCAAGATATACATCTACTTGTACACACTTTAGTACAATAAAAATATTTAAATTTGCATCTTATGCTACGGCGGATGAAATTATAAAATAATATTGTGTAAAAGGCTGAGACAACGGGCCCAGATGCTCTAGCCTTCCCAACCCTACCCTTTCACCATTCTTGACTATA